CTGTTGTGTGTTTTTGGTACTCGAGATTCATTTTGTTAAACTTGTGTTTGTGTGCAGGTAAGAGTGAGCTTCAGAGGACAGACGTTGATGCTGGGAAGGTTCTGAACACATTCAAGAAGCTGGGTTACAGAACATCACTGCACAACGACCAGACTGTGGAAGAAATGAAAAACCTGATGAAACAAGGTAATCAAAGGACCTTATTTCATTCCTTTTAACTCTGAAAAGTATTCTCTGTATCCTGTTATTGTATAATAGCAACCAAACCCAGCCTTCTCTTCTTTTACTGCACAAACTGAAATTAATGCAGTTATTCTTGTTTGTGTTTTTAGTTGTTTTGGTGTTGTTTATAAACACAATTGTTCTTGACAAACTTAAAATTCTTCAGAAWATCTTTTGTATCTTTAAGACTTGTTTCTTTCTTTCAAAAACTGCCATAAATTAAACCAAACGTCAGTGGAAAAAATTAACTMTTTTGGGGAGTTTTGTGAAAGAAACAGGCTGAGATAGCTTTTAAAGAAGGACTAGTCCATGGTGTACAAAATACTATTAAACAGTACTTTTCAGCAGCTGTGTAAGATAGTTATTTTCCCCCAAAGAACATTTTGAGACTTTTTTGGGGGGTGGAGGGATATTGTGCAAACATTTTTTTAACGTCATGTCATGTTCTAATGTCATTCCTCATCAAAAACCTACCCAGAGTGTTGCTTTGACTCATTCATGCATGTTTGACACCTAATTTACACTGGAGTCAATCTGCAAAGACCACATCGCACCAATAYGAAAAGGAATGAACACAACATCCATATTTTCAAAAAAAATTCACCAAAGGCAGACGGATTTTTGTTGAAATCCCAGCTCTATTAATTAATATATGGATATATGTATTCACAAATGCTTTCAGAATGTATGGTTCTGTTTGGGAAGCAGGTGGAAGATGAAGCATATGTGTACACACACGACACACGTGGATTTTATTTTGAAATCAGAAGTTTCAAAAAGACGACAGTGATACAGTTTCAGCTGTGTTTGGAGTCCATCTTCCACAGAATTAATTATTTTGCTCTGACTTCCACATTTATCACTGGATTTATCGRATAATCTTGCATTTACTGCCCACGRTGCTCTGACCTCTGTGCTTCACACCAGACTGGAGCAAACAGTTTTGTAGGAGGGGGGCTTAACGTGGTGTTAAGCTTCTCCCACATCTCTCATACACAAGGTTATGAGGAAATTTTTAACAAGGTATTTCTCATTACTTGTTAATATCTTGACTGTACAAAGTGAAAAGTGACACAATAAGTGAACGTTCAGACGAGTTCAAGTTGATTCATAAAAGACTATGCAATCATTTATTTACACAAATTGAACAAATCATAAGTACACTTGATTGTGGTTATTCCTATAAAAAGTGTCAACGTTAAAATGAGATAAAATCCGCGTCCGAATTTCCATTCACATCAACTCAGATTACTTATATAGAACAGTAAAACGTCAGTTCTGATGTTAACAACCAATCAATTTTACTGGCACTTTCAGCTTAAGTTTTGGCAAATAAAGAACAAGAAAAGGAMGAAAGTAAGGTTAGAATTTTACTACTACTTTACTTTATCAAAGTGTGGGTCAACCGGATCAGCACGTCTTTTTTGCGCTTAGTTTCCACATGACACGTCACTCCGAACACGTCAGCTTTACCTGGTGATGGCTTCTTAAGGCACCCCCTGGGTAGGAACTGTCTCACCTCCGATCAGTCAGGYAACTGATTATCGGCTCGCTAACTGGTCCTTSGCGAGTAGGTGTTTTTCAGATAACTTTTGTCTGTTTCAGTCCAAGCCAGAAAAATTCTAGCTGTCATCCGGTCCCTTCTTTTCAAAATAAAATCTCCCCTCGGGAGGTAAAACACACTTTAGAGGCTTGAAGCCTCAGGGGTGGGACCGCCGGCGGCGTGCGGGGTCCCGGCTGTTAAGTCTTCCCTAGTTGGCTCATGGGCTAAGACTTAAAAGCCGAACTGAGTCTCTCCGGAGAGAGAACTCAGCTTTCTTCCTAGTTTGGAGTCAGGAAGAAGAGTGTGTTACTCAAAACCGTCCGGGTTAGTAAAKGAAACAGACGAACTTTGGTTCCGCCCTCAGGCTTAGAGATGAGTCAGAGAAAGAAAGATAAGAGATTTGCCAGCTGGAGCCAGCCCAAGGTTAAAGTACTGTGGTTGTTTACAACAGATATGATAACCTCTTTTCAGCTTTCTTCTGATAGACTCTAAGAGAACTCACTGCAAAACATTTATGATGATTAATTAACATTTCTGTTTATAATCAGTTCTGAACCTTCTGTTAGTCCAAATAAATGAAAGATTTTCTCAAGAAAAATCCACAATTATATTACTGTGTTCACAGTAAAATAAAAACAGTGATTTACATAAAAACACAATGAAAACATTGTAATGAGATTCTCTGTGATTTTTTATACCATTATTTATCTTTAAGGCACGATAAAAGAAAAGAAGTGGTTCCACTTTTCTTGTGACAGTCATTATCCTGATTTAACAAATGCATAAACATTCTTAGTTAAACAACAAATGAATCACGAACAGAAGAGATTGTTCTGTCCATTATCTGATTAAGAGAACTGAGGGGTTCTCTTCCACGGTTAGGATGACCTGTCACGGCCTAAATAGAGTTCAGTTTGTGACAGAGTTCCTGTCCTCTCGTCAGGCCTGTCCGAGGCCTGCTTCGAGGCAGTAAATCTTGTTTCTTCACTCGAGGTGACCCCTACACTGTATAAATTGGTGTGCAAACGAAAGGCTGAGAACTGTGCACCGCAGCAGAGAGGAACCACATCTAATTTACATTAAGGGTAAGAAATCATTGAATCTCCTGTTGGAACAATGTGGAGCTGACTAAACACTTGCTGCAACAAAGCTCCGCTTATTTACACAAAGCTCCTCCCTCCTCCCGGGAGCTCAACCACAGACTGAGCTCCCGCCCCACAGAGCACCCCTCCCTTGACTTTATGTACTGACCCTGGACCGAATAAAAGGATTAATGATTTTGAGTGACTGTGTTGAGTCTTGCATTTGAGACCTTTTTCTGTGCTGTACGACATTATTATSGTATAGAATTGAACTAAGTGCTTGGAAACGTGCTTCCAACTTTTAAACTAAGACAATTTTTAAAAGATCATCAATAATATTTGTAAAGGCTTCTTTTTCTGCCTTTTTATTGCACGACACAGTTTTCTCCTGTGTGTTTGTCTGTACTATTAGCAAATTATGTCATAAATGGCTGAACTGATGTGTTAGTAGCTCACAGATCACTCAAGATCTTGAATGAGATTGAGCATAATGTTCAATTCTAGTCAGTTTATTTATATAGCMCCAAGTCACAACAAACGCTGTCTAAAGGCACTGTACATAAAAAAAGAACAATCTAAAGAAYAAGCCAGCAGATTGAGCATAATGTTATTTTGAAGGTTGGACTAAAATAACTACAGCATTGTTTCTAAACATGAGATGGTTCAGTGTAACACTCTGGCTTCCTGCGGGCGATATGCATTCYTTTGTGCTAAATCTTTAATCTAGCTCCTTCAGTTTAGCTGTAACAGGACCTCCAACATGATTTTACAATAAGCTCTATTTTTTCTTTATGTAATCACCACATTCCCAGTATTTTGCTGCTTTATTATTTAAACTGGGTGTGGCCATCTCTTCATCTGATTGGACAAACATATGARTGACATGCAGGGATTAAATACATGAAACTGCGGATAAACTGTTCAGTAATTGTTCCATAATGATACTAACAATGTATATTTTGTACATCCTGCTCAATTAACTTGGTACATTTGTAGCTGATTTGACCAAGTAGMGGTATTTGCAGTACATAGGGGAAGTTTCTTTGCTGTGTGGGCYGAGTTTGTCTTGACCATAATTGGTCGGATTGTCTTGTGGGAGAAGTTAAAAGATGAAATAATGTAATAGTAATGTTATTGTGAATATGTAAATATAATTAATTGACTGTCTAAACAGAACAATGTCTCCAATAAAATTACTATGAACATGTAACAAAATGTATTGACTCAAGATTTTGGTGCAGCCAACACCTTCCTGTCTATTACTAAAATGAATATTCAGATTATAAAATATCTATCTTTACCCAGGCAAGTTAGGGCGGTTTTACTGGGATAAGTTGTTACATAGCCCTCCACGTGTACTGTGTTCAAATGTGGTGAGGTTAACACCTCCCTGTCTTGTCATATTTATATTTTAAATTATAGGTGTTTTCTGGTCATTTTAACTGAGCTGCATGTGTCCTCGGCTGCCTGGCGTTCAACCTAACAGTTATGGCTTCTTCAAACCCCACCCAAAATATCCTCTTTCAGGGCTCTCAGGTAGAAAGCAGAATTCATGATTGTGTTTTTCTGAAACACACTGTTGGTTTGACTCCAGATGTAACAGAAAAGTCAGTCCATGGAATATTTTCCTAAAAATTTTGGGGATCATCAAGATGTTTGTTGGTGAATGTGAGGCAGGTCTTTATGTTATTTTTGCTCAACAGTGGTTTTGTTCATTGACATATTTTTCCTTCTCTTCTGTTTAAATCCTGAACTCTGATCTTAGCTGAGGCAGATGAGGTCTGCAGAGCTTTAGATGTTCTGGGTTCTGTTGGAACCTCCTGAATGAGGTGTAGAGGTGCTCTCCATGTTAGTTTTGAGGCTGGTCACTGCTAGGAAGGTTTCAGTACTGTTGCAGGTTTTCTGTGTTTGTGGATAATAACTGTTGAGGTGATTTCTTCTGAGGCTGATAGTAATCTGGTCTGGGTTTGGAGGTGAAGCTGGACTCAGCTGTTAAATAAATCACAGTTAATTTATGATTAAACAGGAAGAATTACTTTTCCTCATATGGTTGTGTTGCTTTAGATTAAATTGGTGTCCTTCACACAATACTGAGAGTGCTCTTATTGTTTCCTTTCCTGACGTGCAGTAGAATTAGAAAATTGCTTGAAAGGATTATTTGAACAAATCCAGCAACGTTTATTTAAATAATGTGCAAGAAAAAAACTGGCAAAAACCTTGTAGGGGTCACCTCGAGTGAAATCATCAAGGAAACTGTCTTGTACTCTCAGTCCTCTGATGGGCCTGTAAGGGACAAAAACTCTGTTCCACTTAGAACTGAATTTAGGCCACCTCAGGTCGCCTTAACCTTTCAAAGAGACATTCTCTTCCTTCTGAATTAGATAATAAACAGAAGAATCTTCATCTTATTTGATTTATTGTCCTCTTAACTGAAAGTATTACGCATTTTGATAATCAGAGAATGTTTATCAAAGTTACAGGAGAAAAGAGGACAGATCTCTTTCTCCCTCAGTATGATTTCAGCTATGCATGGTTTTTCTGTGGAAAAAATCTTATTTAAATAAAATAATCTTAATGGTTTAAAAGTTGATGAAATATCAATGTTTTACTTGTCTGAATCATATTTGCAAATGTTTTGAACTTGAAACAATTCATTTTTCTTTCATTTATGTTTTAAATGACTCCTCATCAGATGATAATTAATATAGGTCATGAAATGTTTTTGCTCTGAATCACACAGAAGTAATAATCTTTGTTTAGTTTCAGGAGTTGACGGCCAGTTCTGAAACTAACATTTTCCTTGATAACTCTTATACTAATCTTACCTCCGGAGGGCGGAACTTAGATTCTCTAAGCTTCTTTAGTACTAACAGTTTACGCCCGGACGGCAGTAGGTGAGGGATCGCCGTCAGTCACTCTGACAGCTAGACTCTCTGGGAGTCAAGAGCTGAAAACTGTGTCAGGTTTACCTCTTCATCGCCAACGAGGAAACCTTACAGCCTGGGTCAGAACAACAGCTGGTTGACCCACTTCAGAAAACCTTCTAGACAGAAGTTTTATTTTGAGCCTGGGTTCCAGTAGAGGTTTTCCTTTTTCCTACGGCTGACGTGGATGCCATGCATGTCTGGAAAACGCGCCTAAGGGTCACTCTATTGGACAGTCCTGAGCGGATTCTCTCAGCAGAAGCCCCGACAGACCTGGCAGGTGACAGAACATCATCTCAAGGTAAAAAGCTGGCTGTGTGACGTCGATGTCTGACCGAAGCCGAGCACAAAACACTTCGCCCTTCTGGTTAAAACTCACATTATTTAAGATAAAAGTATAAGAAAGCTAACACCTTACTTTCCTCCTTTTTCTTAAAGTCTTCCTTGCCAACCCTAAGATAATTGCCTCAAATGTCTGGTATTCAACATCAAAGCTTGATGTTTGTGTTTCTATTTAAGTGTTTATTGACAATTTAAGAAGGTAGAAGCTTGTTATTGTCAGTTCTAAACTTTTATAGGAAACTGATTGCCTCAATTAAGTGTACCTAGTGATTCTGTATAATTTGTAAAATAAATGATCGCAKTATTTATGGATCAAATCAACATTCACTGACTGAGTCACTTCTTGTTTGTCCATTCATTTTTGCACTAGAGGAATGTTTACCCAAAATGAAAGTGATCCCTTGCTTAATAAATTACTCTTGTAACTTTGTTATAAGAAGTGTAAGACTGAKCCCTTGCAACCTCAATAAAAACCTGCAATTAGATAATCTTTATCATTGCTGGGTTTAATTGTAGCAGACCGGTGATGATTTAAAATGATTTAAACCTCACGTTACTGCCTGATCTCTGTCCTGTTGTCTCTGTGTGTCCAGCATCTCAGGAGAACCACAGCCAGAACGCGTCCTTTGTGTGTGTTCTGCTGAGTCTTGGAGACGAGGGGGTCATTTATGGCACTGATAAATTTGAAAAGATCGACACTCTGATAAATAACTTCAAAGAACACAAGTCTCTGAGTTTGGCGGGGAAGCCAAAGCTCTTCTTCATACAGGTTAGTTTTTCACTTTGGTCCTCTCACTCCGCTGTACCTTCAGTAACAATTCAAATTAAAACATGTCTGATGTCAGGCGTGTCGTGGTTCGTCCCGGGATGGTGGTGGGATGATTGAGACCGATGCTGTGGAAGAGCAAGCAACAGAGAGGATTCCTGTGGAGGCAGACTTCCTGTATGCGTACTCCACAGATCCGGGTAARCAGCAACACGTCACTGTTTCCTGTTTATGCKTCTGCCCACTCTCTGAACCTGAACTCAATCCACCTGCAGGCTTTAACTTCTGGATGAACACATCCTGCGGCTCCTGGTTCATTCAGTCCCTGTGTGCAATGTTGGAAAGGTTCAAGGGAGAACTGGATCTGATGAAGATCCTGACTCGGGTCAACCACYTGGTGTCGCGCCAATTTGAGTCTTCATCCAACTTGCCTGGGTTTAGTGGGAAAAAGCAAATCCCTTGTATRYTCTCAATGTTGACAAAAGACCTTTATTTTCCTAAGTAAAACCATTTTACACTTAATTKATTTAGAAACCAAACACTTTTYCAACAAGGGAGCATTGACTAGGGCTGGGTGATWTGGATAAAAACTGAATCAGGATATATGCCTTTCAATAATCATTGATTAGTTTTTTTATTTTACCTATTTGGTGATGTGATCTTTGTTCTCTTTTATCCACAACTTCCTCTTGAGCTGTTGCATCATTTTCTCCTCCATGTCATTCTGTTTTATTTTGAAGGAGTTATGGTGGTTAAACATGGAACTACTACATGTTTGTTACTCAACAGGTTGTTGCAGCTCACCAGAAATGAGTTAGTTGGTTGATGCAACCAATCTTACTGCRAATTTACTCTAGATGTGGCTCTGCTCCGATGCGGTCCAAGCTCCGCAGCAAATACGCAACCATTATAATCAATGACAGTATTTACACTGCAGGGTGGCAGTGAGTGGAAGACGATCTGCWAAAATTAGATTTGATCCTATTTGTTCTGGACGCTGCTCTGGATCAGATTTCAGTGAAACTATCAACATTCAATCAGATGTATTTTCTTCTGATATTGATCAAGTGTCTATAGCAATATACTGTCCATTGTTATTGCTTTATTGCCTAGCCCTAGCTTTAACTGTCCTGCTAGTCCAAACAGAGCTTAAATGGCACAACCAGCTTTGAAAAGATATGTGAGAATTAAAACTAATTAGAGATGTATTTTTTATTATGTAATTTAAAATTTGTACTAAAGTTCTGGTGGAAATAAACACATTGATGTATTGGAACAGTTTCCTGGAAAAAGCTTTTTTTATTAACGTTATACGGATAACTTAAAAAAATTAAACATTCACCAAACAGAAATATTTAAATGGGCGGTGTTTGTGTCCTGGAGAAGACTTGACCCACTAAAGTGTGTGTGTGTGTGCCCACCTGAGCACTATCATGGCTGCACTGGCGTTTAATTGTAAAAACATTCCGTGACGGCTGTTTTCGGAGCACTACGGGTCGCCTGTTGGTGGTGATCCGACCCCGGCCTGCCTTAGCTGTTTGTCCGTTTTCAGCGNGTATTTAAAATTTGTACTAAAGTTCTGATGGAAATAAACAAATTGATGTATTGGAACAGTTTCCTGGAAAAAGCTTTTTTTTATTAACGTTATACGGATAACTTAAAAAAATTAAACATTCACCAAACAGAAATATTTATTTCATGTTTATACTTCTGACGATCTAAGATTTATTTCTTCTCACCYCTGTGTCAAACTCACTTTCATGGGAGCCAAAATAAGTTAACCTCTGTTAATATTCATTGTAAAAACATAGACTTTTTCATCCATCTGTCCATTTTCTTCKMCTTATCCGGGGTCGGGTTGTGGGGGCAGCAGCCTAAGTAGAGAGACCCAGACTTCCCTCTGCCCAGCCGCTTGGGCCAGCTTCTCAGGGGGAATCCCAGTGTGTTCSCAGGCCAGCTGAGAAACGTAGTCCCTCCATCGTGTCCTGGGTCTTCCTCTGGGTCTCCTCACAGTGGGACGTCACCTCACCAGGGAAGCGTCCAGGAGGCATCCTAACCAGATCCCCGAGCCACCTCAACATCCAGAGCTTTAAGGAACTCAGGGTGAATCTCATCCGCCCCCAGCGCCCTGCCACCGAGGAGCTTTTTAACCACCTCGGTGACCTCTGCACCAGAGATTGGAGAGTCCCACCCAGGGTCCTCAGGCTCTGCTTCCTCATGGGTAGACGTGTCGGTAGGATTGAGGAGGTCRTCGAAGTATTCCGCCCACCAACCCACAACTTTCTGAGTTGAGGTCAGTAGTGCACCATCCCCACCATAAACAGTGTTGGTGATGAACTGCTTCCCCCCCCCAAGACGCCGGATGGTAGACCAGAATCTCCTCGAAGCCGTACGGAAGTCTTTTTCCATGGCCTCTCCGAACTCCTCCCACTCCRGAGTTTTTTCCTCAGCGACCCCCACAAGCCACTATCCGCTAGGACTGCCGACACCTATCTGCTGCTTCCAGAGTCCCACAGGCCAAAAAGACCCGATAGGACTCCTTCTTCAGTCTGACAGCATCCCTCACCGCCGGTGTCCACCAGCAGGTTCGAGGGTTGCCGGCACAACAGGCACCGACAACCTTACGGCCACAGCTCAGGTAAGCTGCCTCGACAATGGAGGCACGGAACCTTGCCCACTCAGACTCAATGTCCCCCACCTCCCCTGGAACGTGTTCGAAGTTCCCCTGGAGGTGTGAGTTGAAGCTCCGTCTGACGGGAGACTCTGACGGATGCTCCCAGCAGACCCTCACTATACGTTTGGGTCTGCCAGGTCTGACCGGCATCCTCCCCCACCAACGGAGCCAACTCACCACCAGGTGGACACCCTTATACTTGAATATGTTTGTTATGGACCATCCCTGATGAGCACAGAYGTCCAATAACTAAAAAACTTAATTTAACCAAAAAATCATTTTAGCCACTATGATTACACAGTGTATAAAATCAAATATTACCATGTGCACTGTGAAATGATTCACAGAACTGAGAAATAAAACAACATTTTTCAACCTGAATCTCTTTTCTGTGATGTGATCATTGACTTTTGTCTGTTCTGTCTGTCAGGATACTGTTGTGTTTTTATGCCATTTAATAGAGAGTTCTACAAACTCAAATGTACKTTTTTTACACAAACATTACATAAATACATCAGACTGATATGTTTTAAATAAAGTGTTAGTTTTATGAGCCACAACCAAAATGAGAATAAGTAAAAAAACGTTTCATTAATAAATGGTCAGTGCTTATGTACAGTATATGATATTTTTCATTTCAGAAGATTTACCTGTGGACAATCTAAGAGCTAAATAATCTCAGTTTAGATCCAGTTGTTCTGACACGAACCCAACACATTAGTAACAAGGTCTACCACCAACAGGATCCTGTGGCGATATGAGTGTTGAGGGTTGGGGTATAAAAATATCCCAAACCCTGAATAACCYTTAAATTAAATATTAGAAAATGAAAAGATGAGGCAAAAACAGCAAACCTGTCAAGAGAGTTCCCTCTAACTCACAGTCCAGGTTTTAATCAGAGAAAGTGAAGAAGCCAAAGATGACCCTGATGGAGCTGATCAGCTCTACTGCAAAGAAGAGGACCACTGAGTCCTCCAGAGACCTGAGACTGCGACAGAGATTCACCTTCCATCAGAACAACAACCCTAAAAGCATTGAAGTACCACACCACTGGTTTGAGGAGAAATAATTTAGCTTTTTATTGATTTTAAATGTTTAGTTTCTGTGTTATATTTACTGCATTTTCTTATTGTTTTGTTTTCTGTTTTATACTGTCTTAATTTATGTTTTTACATTGTTTAGCGCTTTGAGTTACATAAAGTGCTATCTACAGCGGGTAAAATAAGTATTGAACACGTCAGCATTTTTCTCAGTAAATATATTACTAGAGGTGCTAATGACATGAAATTTCCACCAGTTGTCAGTAACAACCCAAGTGATCCATACATACAAAGAAATCAAACCATAAATGTCCAGAAATGAAGTTATTTGTAATAATGTGGAATGGCACAGGGAAAAAAGTATTGAACACACTTACTGAAATTTATCTAATACTTTGTACAAAAGCCTTTGTTGTCAATGACAGCTTCAAGACGCCTCCTGTATGGAGAAACTAGTGGCATGCATTGCTCAGGTGTGATTTTGGCCCATTCTTCCACACAAACAGTCTTCAAATCTTGAAGGTTTCGTGGACCTCTTCTATGAACTCTGATCTTTAGTTCTTTCCATAGATTTTCTGTTGGATTCAGGTCAGGTGATTGGCTGAACTGGTGTCTGTAATGATAATTAAGGCAAATGTTAGGAAATAAAGTTTGGATTTTTCAGTACTCTTTGACTGTGTAAAGATCTTTATTTATTTAAAAAATAATTTTAAGCGGTAGAAACAAGTCGAAAGCTTCACCCTGCTTCTTCCTTATGTCACTAGCTTGCTGCATAGCTGTGACCGCTTCTCCAAACAGCCCCTTTGCCCACTACGGGTCAAATGGGGAGTCCATGACAGACTGTTTGTCTTGATCCGGCAAGCTGGACAAATTCAGCCAGAGTGACCTCTTTCCTGCCACTGCTAGGCCCATGACGTGGCCACAGCCCTGTACCGCGCCTCTGGAGACCCGAAGGATGAGATCTGTCACGACGCAGATCTCCTCCCACACTGTTGGACTCGGGGTGCCCTTGTCCAAAAGGACCCCCATATCCTGAAAAAGCTCCGCCTGATAAGCTGAAAGGAGCGTGACAACATTCAGGTTTGTTATAGACTGAGCTGCGGACTTGTACACCTTCTGGTACATGGAGGATGTGAAGCGCTCCATTTTGCCTGGGAGCGCAGGTCCTGCAGTTGTCAGCGTGGATCGGCGGTTGGGATGGAGGTGAAAAGCGACTGACTGCTCCACCACCGGGGGGTCTGCAAGCCCCAGGCCCTCACCGTTAGCTATTTCTAGTCCCGAGTAACCCCTGATGGGCACTCGGTGGCAGAAAGGCTTATCTCAATACCGCCTCATTTCCTTCATGCACTCGGGAACAGCGGGCATGAACTGCTTCACTTGTGTCTGACGGGAGGGCAGGATTTTTCCATCATATAAATCCCTCTCTACACCCTTGTCATTCTGCGAAGCAGGCCACTCGATGGCGAGCCAGGCCGCAGCCCGTTTGCACACATCATGGAGGTCAACTTCACGAGGCGTGGGAGAGGGTTGAGGTCCCTCACTGATGGAGCTGCCCGGTCGTGACAACTGGGCTGCTGGAGGGAGAATGGCGTCCTCCTCCTCATCCTCGTTGTCGCCCTCAAGGAGGTCAAATTTATGTCCTCTTCCTCATCCTCCTTGCAGACGTCCTCGTCCTCACCGTCGAGAAGCTGGTCAAACAGCGAGGAAACCCCTCGACGGGGCTCTCCAACTCCACAGTCTCCCCAGCTCCCACCTGCCCCACCTGCCCCACCACCAGATTTCGTGCCAGGCTGCATCCCTGCCTCAGAGAGACATGGGTCAGTTTTTGAGGTTGTTGAGACCTGCAGGCATCTCTGTAAAATCGGCGGCGCCATGGGGCGACAGTGGTCGCATGAGTTGGGGTCTGCCAGCACCTCCTTAGCATGTTTCACCCCATGCATATGATGCAGAAGAGGTGAGGATCCTTCCACGAAATGGTGTAGCCGCAGGAGGTTGAGCAAGACCGGGACTCGACGTCCTTAGCCTTGCCGCCACCCGACTTCCCCCGAGAGGAGCCAGCGGTCGTCATCTCGACCACACTCAGCTTCGACAGCTCGAGATCTAGAGAGATGCGAGGAGGATCCACTTTTAAATTTTCTTGACGAAAAGTATTTTTCTTATCGAAAAATATGTTTCTCGACTAAACTTATGTTTTCTGTGAAAAACACACGTTCAGGACTTACCCTTGACGGCTGAGTCAGCGAACTGTTAAATGCATAATCCAAGTCCAGGACCAAAAGAAGGAGCTACTCTGATCTTCACGTAGAAGAAAGCGAGAATGGCAGGTGTCAGGCCGGGGCGCTTATAAAAGGGGGAGTGCGCCCCCGTGCCAAGCATGTATCGGTCTGTCGGAGACAGACGTGGTGGCATTGGTCATGCCTGAAGGCGCTTCCCCATAAGTGAGATACTGAGCGAGGTTTGAAAGAGAACAAAAAGATTATGTGATCCAGCAAAGATCAGATGACTCAAAGCCAGCGATGATGAGGAGGGAGATGAGCTAAAGCTGTTA